GAGGGGACAGTGAAGTGTGACAGCAAGCACTAGAGCATTGAATCCCAGCTGTTGAAGACTTTTGAAGTCCCTCAGATGGCCAAACAGGGTCTCAGATGAGAGGGCACAGGAGGGTGATTAATTAATACCATCACAGGTGTTGTATTTCACTAATACCTCATCAAAAATGCAAATATGTTGAGGCATCATATGTTGGATTACCTATAAATGAGGTGTTGATTACTTAGATGATGTTAAATTATTATGCAACCTTATGGAAAACTATTGGAGACAGAGAACATATCGTTGAGAATTCATAAAGAATGAAGTGACTGCAGCAAATTGATTCCGTTATTGCATGGGCAAATGGACAATAAGCATTATTGATTTCAGAAATGTAAGAAGTACTCGTCAAGATAGATGGAAATTGATCTGCTGTATTTAGACAAATGTAAACATTTTAACATTTCAGCCCTCTTAACCTTTAAGTGAGAGTTTCAGTGATGTATCTAATTGCTATATATTTATTATACTGACATGCTAATTAACAGACCCGTTGATGTTTGTGTAGATCCCAGCTGGAGACTGCTTATTTACATAGATTTTTCCTTATGATGAATAATTATTGCACAAGAAATGAGGTAATGATTGATGGTGTATTCATTTGTACACACACGCACATGCACACACACACACACACACACACACACACACACACACACGGACACACATACGCGCTCGCGCTCACACACATGCACATGCACACAAATGCTCTACAAAATCATTTAAAATTACTCATTTAAAATAACATTCTTTGAAAATGGACTATTTCAAGCCAATTCGATTCAAGCATAATTACAATAAAATAATGAAATTTAATTATTCTGGAATTCCTCAATAGCACATATCTGAAGAAATAGCAGAGCACTTCTGAATACTCTTCTGCACAGTCAAGGCTGCATGGTGTTCTTAATCATAGAAAAATAATAAAGTATCACATCAATACACACATTTCCTTCCTGCAAGCTTTCCTTAAAAATATTTCCATCTGCACTGATTGTTCTGATTGATCATGATTATAAGAGATGAATGTTTTTTGAATCACAACGGTTATTAGGTTTTGGTGAGTTATTAAATGCGAACTTAAAGACAGATGTGATTTAAGAGCCTTAGTTCCTGTAAATTATTTTTTAATTATGGCTAATTTAGATTTAGAACTAATCAACCAACATAAAAAATTAGACCACCTAAAAACATGCAATTACATGTATTTTATTAAAGTTTAATTTTCTGATTAATCAAGTACCAGTCAAAAAATCTAATTCATTTATCACATGACAAGTGTTCATACCTATTTTTATTTGCCAAAAAAAAATTAAATGAATGAATATTAAGTTAAAATCTACACTCACAGGAAAAAAAGTACAGGGGCGCTACCCTTTCAAAAGGCACAAATTTGTAGCTTGTTTACCCCTAAAGTGTACATATTAGTACATTAACTCTTTAGTTGTAATTTTAAATATTTAATTCTGGTCACTCGTGTCTTCAAGATTTTTACTGGACCATTGCTTTTTAAAACATGAAATTATGCTAAACCGAAAAATGGTCATGACACAATCCAGACGGTTCATTTTACATTATATCAAAGGCGCCTAAAAAGCATGACCGCCTGCCTCTTTTATCTGTCCGTCCCAGAACTCCCAGAAGAGACTCAGCGCCTCCCTGAGAGACAGCAGAAAGGACGATGTTCTCACCATAGCCAGTGGCACGATGCCAACTAGGTCTTTCTGTGCCAGGTGGATGTGCGTCTCAGTTTCCTCGTTGCCGGCCCTGATGCCCGGGTATTCCACTGCCCAGGAAATGGACCTGCTGCCTACCGTACTTCCGACACCGTCCACCTCCAGATCCACCTGAACCACCCTCTGCCAGCCTGGCTCCACGCTGAGGTAAGAGAGAGAGAGAGAGAAACCAATAAGTGCTTTGAAACTGACAATTTTCTAATAGTCCATGCCGTGATTTTGAGAGAGAGGTCACAAGGTCAAGAACCATGCTGATAATTTTCCTTTTTTTTATATTCAAAAACAATGCAACCGACACATGCGACCACATAGAGACAGTTGAAAATAACAGTTTGTGTGATGTAACAAGTCTCCAGAGGAAGCAGGTTTGAAGCCACGTGCAAATATGTTGAGGCATCATATGTTGGATTACCTATAAATGAGGTGTTGATTACTTAGATGATGTTAAATTATTATGCAACCTTATGGAAAATTATTGGAGACAGAGAACATATCGTAGAGAATTCATAAAGAATGAAGTGACTGCAGCAAATTGATTCCGTTATTGCATGGACAAATGGACAAAAAGCATTATTGATTTCAGAAATGTAAGAAGTACTCGTCAAGATAGATGGAAATTGATCTGCTGTATTTAGACAAATGTAAACATTTTAACATATTTCAGCCCTCTTAACCTTTGAGTGAGAGTTTCAGTGATGTATCTAATTGCTATATATTTATTATACTGACATGCTAATTAACAGACCCGTTGATGTTTGTGTAGATCCCAGCTGGAGACTGCTTATTTACATAGATTTTTCCTTATGATGAATAATTATTGCACAAGAAATGAGGTAATGATTGATGGTGTATTCATTTGTACACACACGCACATGCACACGCACACACACACACACACACACACACACATGCACGCGCACACACATACGCTCTCACACACACGCACATGCGCACAAATGCTCTACAAAATCATTTAAAATTACTCATTTAAAATAAAATTCTTTGGAAATGGACTATTTCAAGCCAATTCGATTCAAGCATAATTACAATAGAAATAATGACATTTAATTATTCTTGAATTCCTCAATAGCACATATCTGAAGAAATAGCAGAGCACTTCTGAATACTCTTCTGCACAGTCAAGGCTGCATGGTGTTCTTAATCATAGAAAAATAATAAAGTATCACATCAATACGTACATTTCCTTCCTGCAAGCTTTCCTTAAAACTATTTCCGTCTGCACTGATTGTTCTGATTGATCATGATTATAAGAGATGAATGTTTTTTGAATCACAACGGTTATTAGGTTTTGGTGAGTTATTAAAAGTGAACTTAAAGACAGATGTGATTTAAGAGCCTTAGTTCCTGTAAATTATTTTTTAATTATGGCTAATTTAGATTTAAAACTAAATGCATTTAATCAACCAACATAAAAAATTAGACCACCTAAAAACATGCAATTACATGTATTTTATTAAAGTTTAATTTTCTGATTAATCAAGTACCAGTAAAAAATCTAATTCATTTATCACATGACAAGTGTTCATACCTATTTTTTATTTGCCAAAAAAAATTTAAATTAATGAATATTAAGTTAAAATCTACACTCACAGGAAAAAAAGTACAGGGGCGCTACCCTTTCAAAAGGCACAACCGAGATGACTGTCCAAATGAACTGACTTACTAGAGTGAATCAGACTTTTTTAATGCTACATAGAGAAAAGGATGGTCTGAATGGACTTTCCAATGCTACTTATGAGAGAAAGGACTGTCTAAATGAACTGACTCACTAGAATAAATGCCGCATACAGGAGAGGACTGTCTAAATAAACAGATTCACTAGAATGAGTCAGACTTTCCATTGCTACCAATAAGGGGCTGATCCTTTTGAACAAACCAGTTCACTGCAATGAGTAAAACTGTCCAATGCTACATATGAGGGACAGAACTATCTGAATGAACCAATTCACTACAATGATTCAGGCTTTCCACTGTTACATATGAAGGACAGAACCATTTGACCAAACCAATTCACTGCAATGAGTCAGGCTTTCCAATGCTACATGTGAGGGACAGAAACATCTGAACCAATGGATTCAATACAATAAATCATTACTACGAATCACACTTTCCAAATGTCACATCGGAAAAAACTGATTCACTTTTTAATGTAAATGTTACTAACAAGTTTGTAAAAACAAGCATGCAGCATGTTAAATAATATTTTTGACTATAATAAAGCCAGTTCGTTTACGCATCTACACAAAGCCCATTTTTGACAAAACAAGAGAAGGCAGGCTGTAGACATGTTCTTTTTATACTAAGAAGAAACAGGGACACACGAATAGCAGAAGCGTCTACTCTCAGAGCGCATATTAGTTTCATGATTACACATTTACAGAAAGAGTGAAAATGAAAACAGCACCCCAAATCCAGTTTCATTTCGACAACTCTATCTCTCGAGAGCATCTTTCATACAAATTATAATCCTCTCCTCGAACAGCAAGAGAGTCAGACACTGAGTTTGAAAAGAAACATCCCAGTTGTGAATCAACAACCCAATTTTCCTGACAAAACAGAGGAGCACTGAATGGCAAATGAAAATGGAGAAAGCGCTTTTAATTTCAGGAACACTGACACTGCTCGTTTCACTGGTCCCATGGCACACACGTCCTCAAAGTTTCACAACAGCCTGTCAAAACAGATGTCGAGCTGTTCTGAGGACCAGCACAATAGGAAAGTCAGAATCGGAGGCCCAAAGAGGACAACAGTGATTGTCTTGCAAATCAACACTAGTTACTTTTGATTATAATGAGGTTTATAATAAGGTTTATTTCTTTTAAAGGTGCACTTTTATCTTTTGTTTGTTGTGCTGTCAATACCACACTCATCTTGACCTTATACTGACACCTAGAGGTGTGGATGTAGCCAGTGTTGTTATTATTATACTATTATAGTATCTATATGTATTTTTAATTAGATTTTATTTTTATATTTCAGTTTAGTTTAGTTTTTAGTAATTTTTTTATTTACAAATTTTCTTCACGTTTATTAGATTTTTTTAAATATACCTTTTAAGTTAATTTTTTATTTCAGTTTTAGTTTCAACAATTTCAACTTAAACATTTGATTTCAGTTTGTTGCCAAGGCAGCATTTCTATTTTTTCAGCTTTATTTCAATTAAAGGGATATTTTACCCCAAAATGAACCAGTTTTCAGAAAAGAACCAGACTTCTCTGTTGCCTGAGGCTACGAGTTACAGGTAGCAATGTTGTAAATAATGTTCAGTTTCTTGCACAGACAGATCAGTTAGCTTCATAAGACCTCAATATATCGTCAGGAGCAACGGGTATTAATTTTGTGTTCCTTGATATGCTCAAAAATGGGCAGCAGCTGACTTGCATTTTATGAATCACCAAGGACCACGGTTTCAGCTACAATTTTTCTTTATTGTTCTGCTGAAGAAAAAAGTCACCAACATCTCGGATGGCCTGGGGGTGAGTAAATTAACGGTAAATTTTCATTTTGTGGTAAAATATCCCTTTAACTATATTATTATTATTATTATTATTGAGGTAAAAACAATGTGACACACCTTTAAACTTGCCCATTAGTTTGTAAAAAACAAAAGGAAAACATGTTTAACAAATACAACTTTCACACTGCATTGGAAAATATAACCGTAGCACCTAAACATTTCACGTTACCATAAGACTGGCTTGATTTCACATATTGCAAAAAACAGCATCTGAATCATCATAAACAGTGAGTATCCTTGAGCAAATTTTGCAGTGCCCCTCTCTCTTTGAAGTCCATGTGCAGGAATACAGTTCATGTGCGAGAGGGAGCAAGAGAAAATTAGAGAGCGGAAGACAGAAAGTGTCCTTGGGGATTTGCAGAGATATGAAAGCTGCTCCGGCAGGTACAGCAGCAGGAAAGGGATGACAGAATAGAGGGTGACAGCAGTCTTTGGGGAGCGACAGCAAAGGAGCGATAGTGAGCGAGGAGAGAAGAGAGAGAATAAAAAGAGAGATAGGCACTGAGCACATTTAAAACCGTCCCACAACTCTGGCAGTTTTGCTTTTCTTGGGGAGAAAAAATATATATGAAAAGAATTGGTGTGAGAAAAAAAGCTATTGGAAATGCAAGTGTGACAGAAAATATTGCTTGACTATTTGTAGTCATAC